CCCCAAAACCCCAAAACCCCAAAACCCCAAAACCCCTAAATATCATTTAAACATTGAACTATCATGCATTTAAAATACTCACTTAATCTTTACAAATTGAAAGTTAATATTTTTGTTTCCTGAATCTCTTCTGTAGAACCCTTGTTCCAATCTTAACTCCGTCATCTTTAGTGAATTTATCCTCATGAGCTTACCTTTGTTTTGAGAATATCCAATCTTCTGCCCAGGAGATGTATTTGCGGGCTAAAATAAGTTTTAAACCCAAAAAAACACAATTCAAATTTAGTGCAGCTGATTTCTTAAAACAACCAGACTTACGAGTGGGGAATACAGTTCTTTGAGTTGAAACTTCGTATTCAAACTTGGCTTCTTCTTGGGTACTATACGTTGCTAATGGAACCCTTACATGGAGCCCTTCTTTCAGATATATTAAATGCTTTGGACAAGTTCTTCTTCATCTTCATGTACTTATTATTCCCTTTCATTTTATCTATAAACCATAGTTGGTTCAAAAATACTTCTATAATATTCCGACTGAATTGTAGTGAGAAGCTGAGGCTTTGACCTGGACTTGATTTTATCATAATGCTCCTAAAGAGTCAAGAGGAAACCTACTTTCTTCCATTTCTCACGTTCGATAATTGATTCGATATCCTTCATGCTCTGTAGAGGGTCTGTAAGGGTCATAATTGTTGATACCTGGTTTATGGGCTAGATCTTTCTCCGCTTCATGGTACAAGTCTATCTTGACTGCTTTATCAATGTACCTACGAAGCTTTAACTTCTGTGCTTACTTTGCAAAGTTCTTTTCCTTATTTCTGTGATTGGATTTTCCCCAAGTTTTCCTAAAATTTACTCTTGGATGTACCTTAAAATCTTCAGATATCTCGGAGCTTGAAGTAGATCCTTCTATAGAAATTTTAGGTGCCAGAAAGCCTAAAAGGAAGCTTACCCTTGCTATCACTGAAGTATCTGACAATGGTGGTATACTTTATGTTCCTTTGAGATAGAGAGCTTTCAGAGCTCTCATTTTCTACGGTTTCTCTAAAGATTATATGTGGTCTGTACCTCATTGGAGAATCATCTATTGGTTTTTCCTATGGGATTCAAAGAAGGACACTTACTACTTCATCTACAATTGATTTGATTTGTTTCCCATTTGCTGGCTCCCAGTTCGATAAATTTGAAAATAAACCTCTGGTTAGCGCAGGACTGAAAGCTCCAAGCCTAAGCTGAGGATTCCTGAGTGAAAAATTGGTGTTGCCATGTTTGATCTTTTGAAGATTTCCAGACTATAAACAGTTGTCAAAACCTACCTTGATCTTATTTACAAAATGTTTATAATTCCCATAAAGATGGGATTGCGATTTGGAGTTAAGAGAAGCTAGTCTGCGAGCCCTTGCTATCTTCTCATAACTCTTGTATTTTCTGATCCTCTGATAATCAGTTACATATTGAGGTTGATCGATGATACGTCTGAAAAATTACTACTATGGCTTACCTGGAATTTCTCATAAAAGATTTCTTGAACTTCTTAATGACATTATTTACATTGATCTTCCTCATTATCTCGTGTGAAGGTCTGAGAATCTTGGGATAAATTGGTGGGCAGAGATCATTCTTATCATTTAAACGAGTAGTTTTCACACTTTCAAACCCGTTAGATATCCTCTTGTTCGAAAACATTGTCTGGACTTTTGTTTCATTGCTCATCAGTTTATTCTATAAGGAAAAAAATGTGACAAATTCATAGGTAAATTAGAACTATTTGAATTCATATGCCTTAGGACTTACTTCTTTCATGATCTATTGACAAAGCGTCAGTTTCTGTCTGATTAATCATAACCATTTTCTCTGGATGAAGCACTACTTTTTGGATACCTATAAAATATTATGGGATATAAAAGTTAGGAAGGTATTTCCTTATAGAAGGTTATGGTACAGCCGAGATGCAGAGCTTAAGCAAATCTGCTCTGTTTTGTACCATAAACTATTGAACTTTGCTCCTGAGTATACTGGGGATTCCAACTAACAAATACAAATATTCCAAAAATTGTCATAATTTTCTGTACCCAACTCCTAAAATCCCCTATTCGCACTGGCAACCCCATATAGCTCTACCTCCTCTCCTACCTGGGTCACTGAGGATCTCTCTTCTCTATAAAAATACCAGCTGAATCCTACATCACCGACATGTTTCCTCCTGTTAATCCACAGATGCATTTGGCCTTTGTCCATTTATGGGGTTATACGAATTTAGAATATGAATTTAATTTTATTTTGGAATCTGCCAAAGGGGTTTTGGGGTTTTGGGGTTTTGGGG